ATGCTCCGCAAATTCCTCTCTCGCCCGGGTTGGTCTTGGAAAGTCCCTCTTTCGAACTAGTTTCTTCCGCTGTTGCTGCAATTCAGAGGCAGAAGTTCCCAGGGTGTCCCAGAAAACTAGCTATCGCTCATTATGCAGATCTGGGTTCTTCATTACAAAAATATTTGATGCCCACCTATTATACGCCAAGCATTTCGCTAGAGGCTTTCTCTTCGAATTGCCATCTGTCCTCTAACCCCAAACGCAGCCAGCACCTGCCTCCTACCACCTGTGTCCTCATGATGGACTATCCCGTCTGTTAGAAAAAGTTCGGGTCACTTTCTTTCCCTCCCTCCCCTAGGACAACTACACTGCCTTGTTCCCAGAAAAGAAAGTTCATCAGCTTTGGTGGCAGCCAGTCTTGGGTTTTAATCCCAGGTTTGCCATTTTAGGCAAGTTGCTGGATCTGGCTCAGTTGTTGTGAAGACTGGCAGAGCACTTGGGCACAAAGTGAACGTGCATTTCCTCTCTTCCAGCGACTCTCGAAAAACACAGCCCAACAAACAGGCCCCCAAAACACAAGGAGAATGTGCTGGCCACACTCTTACCCATCACCAAAGGGAAGTCCTACAGTCCCTGACTGTAGCTCTTTGGTTTCAGCTCCAGCCATCCCTCCCTGACTGGTCAATTCTGAGGAAGCAGGGCTGGGGGTCCCCGAGCACCCTCTCCTCACTTAGGCCTGGTAGGCTGACTCTGCAGCAGCTGCGTTCTAGCCCCTAGCCTTCACCATGACAACCAGCCTGCGGAGACATGAGCCTGCCAGGCTGGGGAAAGCTGGGGGGCCCAGGCAGCTCAGGGTGAAAGCCAGTGCTGGAGATTCCTCCAGTCTCTCCCTCAGGGTGCAAGACCAATCATTATTATACCCTCTCCCTGTGGCACAGACATTCTGGGGCCTCCCTAGAGTCAGTGACCCTTGACTCTCCCTCCTGTGTCAATGCTGCTGGGAGACCGCCTGAGGGCTGAGGGTTCTGGGAAGGAACATGAGGTTGGGTTGTGTGTGTTCTGCGGGGGAAGAAAGGTCAGCTAGCCCCCAGAGGCCAGCACAGCTAAAGAGCCTCCTGCATTCCCAAGAGAGGGGACAGCTGAGGTGAAAGCTGCAGTTGGCTGGCCTGTCTGTCGGTCTGGGCTCCTCCCTGCCGGCTGCCCTTGGCTGCCCACAGAAACCTGAGTCACAGTCATGGCCAGCCACCCGACCCCACCCAGCCTGCTGTCAGGCAGGGCAGTTCTGGAGAGACTGGAGGCGGAGCTTCTCACTGCTTGTCTTACAACCTCTGAGGTTGTTCCTCCCTCTGCCTGTGATTCCTCCGCTTGGCGTCTTTTTCTTTGGAACTCCTCCTCACAGTGTCACCAGTCCTGAATTAAGGGTGGGGTGGCATCCATCTCAGGCTGATCTGTAGGGTCTCCTCCTTGCTCAGATGGGAAGTTAAAAGCTCCTTAGCTGCTCCAAGGGCTCTGAGTACAGTTCCCATCATTCCCAAATCCCAGTCCATCTCCACTATCCCTCAGGGCTAGGACATTTAGGAACACTAGGCACCCCCTCCCCACCCTCTTCTCCTCCCTAGAAAAGAACACAGCAGGAACAGCTTCCCATCCCTATCGGGGGCTCTAGACAAGGACCTCCTCCCAGGAAGCCAAAGGGTTGAACCTGTTTAGTCCTAGATCTGAGTTCCTCCACCTTCAATCCCTCTCTGTTCCTCTCCCTCCCCAAGAGCTGGAGGGAGGGAGGCCTTATTGCAGCTGGTGCCACCACCGCCCTTGAGGACATTTCCCACCCCAGCCCCAGAGAGTGAGGCCTGGAGGCTACAGGCGAGAGCCTAGAGCTGGTGTGAGTTAGAGACCTCTTCCAGCTGCAGGGCCTTGGGGGTGGGGTGGGAGTGAGAATCTGGTGTCTCTTCTCTCTGCTGCCCCCACCATGAGGCCCCTCCCACTTCCTACTTTGTGGGTGTGGAGGCAGCTTCCAGGGCCTAGGTCCGGATTCATATCTCTGTGTCAAATCTCCCAGTGATTTCCTTCACCCCTCCATCAGGTTCATCCTGGACCTAGCCCCACCAAACCTAGGAGGTTGTAAATGCTCTGGCTCCTGCCCTCCCTTTAAGGGGATCAAGAAGGAGCTGTATTTCTGATTCCCATTCAGTGACCTGCCCCCTAGTCACAGCTCAGCCTCCTGGTGAGACTAACGGCTCATTCATGCCAGTTTCCGTGGAGGGGGAGGGGACTGCCCTGGGCGGAAGGGGAGGCAACAGGCAGCCCCTGATGTTGCAAGTGCCCCACCTGCTCCTTCTCTGAGTTATCTAATGTTTGGGATATCTAATATTTGGGAGGCCCTGTGGGGCCCCCAGGCACTGTCACCCAGCCCCAAACACAGAGAGAAATACCCACTCTAAATCCTCTCAGGTGCTGGGGCTTGGGATCTGCCAGGGATCGTGGTCAGTCAGGGGGCAAATGAAAAGGAGCCCACCCCATCTGTCTACTCTGACTGCGTCAACCACAGAACACTGTGCTCTCCCAGCTCCTTTTCAGTCATCCACCCAGGACTCACTGTGGACCTCTCAGCTGTGCAGAAAGCCTTCTGAGGCTGCCTGGGAGAACTGTCCATCAAGTTACCTAACTCCCAGATGCCCTCTGGTCCCCACCAGTAGCATCTTGTGAGGGGGTGCAGGTGCCTCCACCCTCAGTCTAGGGAAGGGTTCCTCAACCTTGGCACCATTGACATTGGGGTCCTGATGACTCTTTGCTCTGGGGACAGTCCTGTGCATTATAGGATGTTAAAGGGCATCCCTGGCGTCTAAACACTAAACGCCAGTAAGACCTCCAGCTGTGACAACCAAAAGTGCCTCTATACATTGTCAAATGTCCCCTGGGGGGCAAAATTGCCTCTGGTTGAGAACTACTGATGTCGGCTAATACCACGCTAATACCACACGCTGTCTCTTTGTAGTGAGCTCCTCAAAGTCAATCCCAGGTAATTAGACACAATAGAAGATTCCCAGTTCTAAAGCACTGCTCCGGGCCGGCCCCGTGGCTTGGCGGTTAAGTGCGGGCGCTCTGCTGCTGGCGGCCCGGGTTCGGATCTCCGGCGCGCACCGACGCGCTGCTTCTCCGGCCATGTTGGGGCTGCGTCCCACATACAGCAAATGGAAGGATGTGCAGCTATGACACACAACTATCTACTGGGGCTTTGGGGGAAAAAATAAATAAATAAAATTATAAAATAAATAAATAAAAATAAAGCACTGCTCCCTCTACCCCTTCTGAAGAACCTTCAACAGCTCCCCAAGATCTACACCGTGTAGATCATGATGTCAACTGGCCTTCAAATCCTCCTATATAGGCCATCCCCGGCCTGTCTTCATCTTTAGCTACCATTTCCCCCTCCACTATTCTTGAGCTCTAGCCAATGAGGGTACCTTACTATTCCCACCCATATGTCTTTGTCCCTGCAGTAACCTCAACATCTCAACATCAGGAGTGGGGTGGTGGAAGAACTGAGAGGGCTCTCCTCCTGTTGGGTTCTGTTCATGAATTCTGAGTCCAGTCACTGCCTGGCTCAGGATGGGCCAGTTCAGCTCTGGAAATGCAGGCCCTGAGACCTCCAGCCCCACAAAGGACAGTCCTGGACTCCATCATCCACACGGTCCCCTCATCCTGCAGATGGGATGGCTGACAACAAAGATGGGGATCTGCTCCTCACCCTAACCCATTTTTACCTTTGAAGCCCCATCATCATCATCATATTTATTAAGCACTTCCTATATGCCAAGCTCTGTGCTAAGCACTTCATCTGCATTGCCTTACTTAACCTTTGCAATGACCCCATGATACCTCATGGTACTATTATTTTCCTGATTTTATAGGTGAGGAAATTAGGTTTCAGAAAAGTTAAGACACTAGCTTAAGGTTACCATCTTTTTCTAATGGTGGGCCGGAGGGGGACCAAGAGGGACCTCCCAAGAGGGTTCAGGCCCCCAGCTACTCACACTTCCCAGAAGAGGCTGCTCCCAGGTTGCCTGAGACCCAGACCCTTCTATTCCCCCCCCTCCCCCTTGAAATGGCTGTTCTCTGAAGCTGCTCAAAGGAAGGAGACGCTGGCGGGAAAGAGGGGCAGGCAGACAGCTCTCACTGGGTCTAATCTCTGCACAATGGAGAACTGGAGAACCGACTTCTGGAGGTCAGGACAAAGGGCAGGGATGGGCTGGGCAGGGCCCAGCTGCGCCTCCTACTTCCTCCCCTCTGTCAATCCCTGCAGCACCATCATCGATCCACCTTCGCAGCAAGCCCCCCCCCTCTGCCCAGGCTGGGCCTGACGAGGCCCTACCTCCGCTGGCACTAACAAGGGTATTGGGGGATCCACTCCGGAGGGCTGGGAAGCCGGGCTTCTGGGGGAGGGGAGTCAGAAGGGGCTCATTCCCTCTTTCTAAAGGCCACAGGGGAGAAAATCCTTCCGGGGAGACTGGAGGGGTCATCGTCTGATGGGGGTTGGGGAGGTTCAGGGCCCGGACCACCCAGTTTGGAGCCGGGAGGGACCCAGCAGATTAGAGACCGGGGTAAAGCAGCGGTGCAGGCCTGTAATTACCCCAGGAGAGCAGAGAATACACCAACCATAGGATGCTGGAGGAAGGGCAGCAGCAAGGCTCCTGTGCCTCTTCCCATCCCAGCCATAACCAAGGAGGCCTTTAAGGGACTCTCCTTCACGTCTCCCGATGTCCCCCTCGCGGATTTTGTTTCAGGTACGTTTGAGAGAGAATTTAGATTTAAAGCTGCCGCGAAAACCCCAGAGCCGGAGCTCTCAGGCTCCAAGGTGGGATTGGGGGCTTCCAGTCCCGCTCCCCCCAACTCCCCCCAGTCCTAGTGGCGGGTGAGTCACCAGAGCGCTCCCTACATAGTCGTCTCGCGCTGCGGCGCGTACCAACGCGCGGCCGCAGGGGGAGGCAGCTCGACGGGCGTCCTCCGGGAGCCGTGGCGCCCGCTCCGCCGCGGCCGCAGAAGAGGCGTCCGGAGACTCGAGGCCCTGCGCTCCAGGGCGGGGGCGGGGCGGGCGGAGCGGGCGCGCGGCGGCTCGGTCCCCGGGCGCTGCGGGGGCGGTTCTCCCCGCGTGGCACTTGGTACGCGCCAGTGGCGAGGCCTGGCCCAGCCCGGGCGGTACAATAGGGTTGGGCCGCGGCTGGGACTGGGCCGGCGCGGGGCAGGAGAAGGATCGCGGCCGCAGCCGGGAGACACTGGGCGGCTGGCGACTCCGAGCCTCGCAGGCCACCAGCCGAGCCAGCCTCGACCTTCCCCCCAGCGCCCCCGCCTCTGAGTCGTTGCCCGCCGGGCCGGGCCGGGCGTGATGCGCCGCGGTACCCCTGTCCTGGCCGCTGGCCGCCGCCGCCGTCGCCGCTGAGACCCCAGGACCCCCCCCGTGACACCGCAGCTATGGAGAGCGGCCCACATGCGGAACCGGGTGTCGGCGCACCCCCAGGTACGCGGGGAGCCACGCAGAAGCGAGAGAGCAGGGAGGTCGAGGGGCCTCAGGGAGGCCGAGGATGAGGCCGGCCCGCGGGGCGAGGACCCCTCCCCCGCCGCGCCCTCTGACCACTTGGAAGTTTAAAAATAAAGGCTGCGGCGGCGGCGGCGGCTCCGGGCCACCGACGCATCTTCTGACAGCTGCCCCCTCCCCCACCCCGGGCGCTGGGACGCACTGGGCGGCGGGATCCGCGGGGACCCGGCTCCAGAGTTGTTCGGTGACCCTTCCGCCCCAGCCCAGCGCCACCTCGGCTTCCCCGCCCCCACTCCCCTTCCCGATCCACCCCAGGCCCTGAGGATCCTTTTCTACTGTGCTGGGGTGTCTGTCCTCCTCCTCATCCCCAGTGGGCACATGTGACCCCAGCCTGACTGTGTGTGTTGGGGGTCCAGATTCTTAGGCCTGGAGCCCAGCATACCGAAGCCTAGGCCCTGGCGCCCCTACGCCCAGGCCCTGGCCCAGACCTCTCCCCCACCCCATCCCTCCAGCTGCCGCGCAAAGGGCCTGTTGCTGCTGCGGGCCGGCGGGGAGGGGAGGGGAGGGGGGAGGTCTCTAGTGGCGGCTGCCAAGTAACCCGCCGGATAAAGGCGAGGGGGAGGGGGAGGCGGCATTGTTTGGGGCCAGGGCGGGAGCTGGGGAGTGGGCCGCCTCCCCTGCAGCCTGGCCTCCTCCGGAGCCCACCCAGACCGATTTGGGGAGGAAGGGGACAGAAGTAAATCTGCTTATCCTGCCGCCCTCCTTCCCAGCCTCTCTGGGCCTGTCTCTCCCTGGAGAATGAGGTGAGGGCTCAAGGCCGGCACTCCCGGGACCTGCCACATCATTCTTTATCCTGTGACTGTGGATACCTCCCCTCTTACACACACGTACACACACACACACACACTCACTCACTCTGCAGGCCCCAGACCATCAAAGCTTCCCTCCCCTACCCTCACCCCACCAACCACCAGTGCCCAGGACTTCTGCAAATCCCATTCGGATCTGGGAGCAGCTGATGAGGGGGTGGGGACAGGTTTCTGGTTGGGTCTCGTGTTGGAGGGAGGGGTTTCTCTTTCTCTTTCTTCCTGGAAGGGGAGGGAAGAGCATGATTACTGAGGACCCAAGTCCTGTTCCCACTGACTCAGGGGGGAGGTGGCCCCATCCCCACACCTCCATAGAGTCCTAGAACCTAATCCCCATCACCTCCCTGCCCCCTGGGGCATGGGCCCAGGATGAAAAAGTGTCTCTGGGTGCGGAGAGCCCAGGACAAGGTGGAGCTGCTTGGCTGTGGGTGGGCTCCTCCCCATGCCAGTGTGGGTGCTTCAAGGGGACTGTGTGGGTGTGGGGGCTGGAGGACGAAGAGGGGAGGCTATCACACTGGTGTGGTTCAGGAGGTTTGTAGGCCCTGCTGAACAAGGCCGCTTGGGTCTGTCTGTCTCAGCTCTGCTGAGCCTGGGAGGGGACACACAGGGAGGCCCAGCCTGAGTCCACTGCATCTGCTTCCTGGCCCTCTGCACCTGACGGTCCCTGGCATTGTTGTGTACATTGGGGCCTGAATGGGGGTGGTGACTGGGCCATAGATGAGGACCTGAGTGGGTGGCTAGTTTATAATTAGGGCACTTGACTGTGATGCCTGGACTGAATATGAGGGCATGGGTGGGATGTGGTGGGGAGCCTGTATGGGGCCTGCATACAGGGTCCTGGATTAGGAATACTCTTCTATACGCAGGGGTCTATATGGAGTTACACGAGTACCTGGATTGGAATGGTGGCTGGTCCCTACACAAAGAGAAGTTGAAAGTGATAGGGGCTCCCTATGAGCCAAGGCTTCCTGGGAATAAAGGTTGTGCCCACTGCATGTGCCCTGTGAGAGTCTGAGACCTGGGTCTGAGACTCTGAGTGTGCATGACAGGCTACCTGTCCTTTTTGAGTTCCCTTTGCATACTGAGCATTAACAGGAGGTAGCGTGAAGTAGGGGACAAGTGTGGCACCTGCTTTTGGGTCAGAAGACCAGGATGGGAAGCCCAATGGGAAACCTAAGCCCAGGGTGGAAAGCTAAGCCATTTACTGGCTACTGGACTGGAGCAAGTGACTTACCTCCTGCAGACCCAGTTTATGCCCCTGGAAAATGGAGGTAGTGTTATCAACCTTGTGGAGTTAATGTGAGGGTTAGAAATGATGTACCTAAAGGAAGCTGGCACCCGAACACCCGCAATACAGTCTCATTACCATCATTATGGCTGTGCTCATCGGAACTCGTGCCAGCAGGGAGGTACGAAATGCAGGGGAGGCGGGGGCAGGAATTGGGAGTCGTTTTGCCTAGAAGTATAGACTCTGGTGTCAAACAGTTTAAGTCTCCACTTCATAACTTACTACTTTGTGACCTCAGGTAAGTTGCTTAACCTAAATCTAAAGTTTTCCCATCTGTAAAATGAGAATAATGCTAGAAATTATCATAGAGACATTGGGATCATTAAATTAGATGAACACAGAAAACATGTAGCCTAGTCTCTGGCATGTGGTTAGTGCTCAGTAAACACTAGCTATTTGTTTTTTGATGTTATTATTTTTAATTCCTGCGGAGGCCTGAGAAAGAGGTGTGATTAATGAGAACTTCAGGAGGTAAATAGGACAGAGGGCAAGGGGGAGGGGAGTTCTAGAAGGACATGAGCCAGGATGTGTCTGGGGAGAAGAGGGGTCCCCAGTACTTGGAGTGGGGCAGTGGGAGTAGAAGAGAGACGCAGGAGATGGGTGCAGCCAGCCAGCCGGCACACCCATGCTGATGCCCGCCATGTGCCAGCTTGGTGCTGGCTATGCAAACAGCAGAGAAGTGAATCAGACAGAGTGGCTACCCTCAGGGAGCTCCTGGCCCAGTGGGGGAGGCAGATGTGTTCACTGCAGGGAAACCCAGGTATAATGGTGATACACTGGACTTGGGCTCTGCTTGTGGAAGGTTTCAGAGGAGGCGGCATTTAAGGTGGAACTGACAGGATAAGGAGAAGTTGGTGAGGCTGGCACAATGCTCTCTACATATAGCAGCCAGCCTGGCTGGCACCTCCAACTGACAGCTTCTGTCCCTCCTTGGGCTGGTGGGCCCAGTAATGAGGCCTCTAATGAGCCCCTAATGTGCAGCCAGGCTTATGCAAATGAGGAGGAAGGGGCACTAGACCAGTTCCCCTCCCCTGCCTCTCAGGATGGGCATCAGCTATTGGAGGGGCAGGGCTGAGGACAGGGGAAGGAGCTGAAAGCAGGGCCCAGACTAGAGTGGTGGCACTTCAGGGCGGGTCAGGGCAAGTCTCAGATCTGACCAAGGCTGGAAGGTAGGCCACCAGCAGCTGGGAGCCATGTCCCTGGGTCCCTGCTGGGCCTTGGGGTCAGTGAGGGAGCCAAGGGGCCAAGCTCAGATAATGCAGCTTTGTTGGTGGTGGCAGCTCTGCCTGGCACCCCAGGGCACAGGCTTCAGCATCTCTTCCATCACTTCTCAGCTGCAGCTCTGCCCTGAGGGGAGCAGAGAGCAGGGAAAGGGCTAGAGAACATGGTATTGCTGCTCCCATTAGCACTCCTCACCAATTGTAAGAGGAGATATGGCCAGGAATAGACTCCCTGGTGAACCAACTTATTTCCCACTCCTATTTATTAAGGGCCTTCTCTGTGCCAGGCACAATGCTCAGCATGTCACATGCATTTGATCCTTAAAACAATCCCATGAGTAGGGACTAGTATTATCCCCATTTTACAGATGAGGCTCAGAGAGGCAAAATCACTTGCCTAAAGTCACACAGCTAGGAACTGTCAGAGTCAGGATATGAACCCAGGTCCATCTGACTCTGAAGCTTCCGAACCTCTCTGCTGAATTATCAGGGCCAAGCTAGCTGGTGACAGAGTCTGGCCCACTTCCCTTGCATGACTGGTCTTGTGTGGGCATCTTGGTCTTGGGGACCCTATGATCTTTTCTCTGGCAGGCAGAGGTAGAACGGGTCCCCCCTGCATCCTGACAGGTTGGAGTCTGAGCAAGTCGGACCATAAGGAGGCCCTGGCCCCGGGCAGTGGTGACAGTCCAGCCAGTGGGCCATCCTCAGGCCTTGGCCTGAAGCTGGGCTTCTGCCCTTAGTATGTAGGCCTCATCTGGGCAGCCCTGCTGGGGCTGAGGGAGGGCTGTGGTGGGGCCCGCGGGATGGGGTCATTTCCTGCCGCCTAAAATAACAGGAAGTGGGTGCTCCTGATTGGAGGCTGGGAACAATGGCTGCCAACAGGCCAGAGAGCTCCTTCAGATCTGCAGTCTCAGTTGGGTTCCCCGGCTTTGTCACCCACAGAGGCCCGTGGCCTGGCCCCAGTGCCCTGCTGCCAAGGGTTCTGTGGCCCAGGTTCTGAGGACCGCTGGAGCAGGCTACCCTCCTCCTACTTCACTCCCTCTCAGAGCTGGCTCAGCTTTGTCCAAGCCGGGAGTAATGCCGCTCCCTAAGGTCCCCCTCTGTCCCAGCCCCACAATCAGGCATCCCCCAGGGTTCGTCCTTCCTGCCCACCTTCCATCCTCCAGCCCAGATCTTTCCAGGAGAGGAGACCCAGGAGGCTGCCCCCTTTAGGTAGCAGAGTGCAGGTACAGGCTGTCACCCTGACTCGGCTCCAAACCCCAGCTTTGCTACTCGCCAGCTGTGTGACTTAAGCAAGTGTTTTAATGTCTCTGAATCTATTTCCTCATTTGTAAAATGGGGTAATAATATCTACTTCATAGGATTGTGGTGAAGATGAAATGGACTGATGTGTTTAAAGTGTTTAGCTGTGCCTGACACAGCACTAGCTGTTGCTGCTAACTGGACTTTCCCTGGGCGCAGGTAAAGGAGTGCCCAGAAGGGGCAGGGCAGGTGTGACCTGGATGAGGCTGTATAAATATACTGGGGACATTGTGTCTCTGAGTGCTGGGTATGTGTCTCTGAGGCTTTGTCTGTGCCTTGAAGGGGGTGCCTGGTTCTGTGTGTGTG